TTTAAAGAGACAATGAAGCCACAGGAGCTTTTTCCAAGCTCTTCTAACACTGTCCATTTGCCATCCTCCCTTCCTCTGCTTTTTCATGCAACTCCCCCATAAACTCTTCTCCCTTGCTGCTTCCTCCCCACCCTCCCAAAAAACCTCCCCTCCCCCAAGACAACAGTGTTCTGGTTAAAAGTCTATATTCAGTGGCACTGAGTATTTTAATCAAAATATTTCAAGCAGTTTAACATTCCTATGTAAGTTTCCACAACGCCTCACAAAGAATGAGCTCATAAGGAAATCCATGTAGATGTATGATAAATGACCAGAAAAACAGGTTTCTTTATGTCAGCAGCCAAGGCAGACAGACAGTAGGCAAACATGAATAACATTTTAATCACTATTTTTTTCTCAGAAGAACACTTTCTTCTCATTTGCAACAAGCAATTTCAAGTACTGCAGGTTTGCACTGACACATGAAGACCAAAACTAAAAAAAAAAGAAAAAAGTCCCCAAAACAGGCCTGCCTGTGGCTGCTGCTAAGGGCTGAAAGGCCTGTCTTTGCCAGCGTGTCACAGCAGTCACCTCAGCTCCTCTGTTGCTGACTTCCCATGACGGGAACCTTGGCCGAATTTGAGATGATCCAAAGTGTCGCACCTCGAGCAATGTGATCTCCTCAGAATAAAACAGGGAAGAGGAAAAAAAAAGGGAAAAAAAAAAAGGGGGTGAGGGAAACATTCTTGTGTGTGGGAAGAGGGAGAACTTAAGTGATTTTAGCATGACTTTTAGTCACTGCCTCTCCAAAAGCAATTACTTCATTAAACAAAGTGAAATAACGTAGCACAGCTTACAGATAACATGCTTTAAGATAATTACTATAAATAATATAGCAATTATACTGCGCATATAAAAGGCTGGAGAAAATAATGTGCTAAAGAAATCAGCCTTCAGTTTATTCTGAATTAATTTTGCTAATTCACTTGTGCTTCAGAGACCTGGCTACAAATGCCAGAGATACCAAATGAACTGGAAGCCACCACTCGTTCCTCCTCTTAGCATGCCAAGTGTCAATAGCTATGTTTTGGGTACAATTTAGGAGCATGTGTTTAAATCATTTTAACCTTCCACTCCTGTTTCTTCAGCTTGAAGCTGTAATTGCTGAGGTTAGAAAGTGCGGTCCCACAGCACAGGAGTCCCAAATAAATTTTTGTCTAGCTGTGAGGCTCCCAAACATGTTGTGAGATATCGTTTTAGCAAGCTCTTTGTGTTCTGTCTGGCTAGCCCGGTCCTGTGAAACAAGGGCTGTCCATTACCTACAGTTTATCATCCTGACAAAATGTGAGGAATGTGGATGTGAAAGCACTAACAATTCCACCCCTGGTGCTTTCTCCTTTTTTTCTCTCTGTATTAAAACCGACAAGATTAACCCAAATGCAAACTGCAGAGCATAGTTCAAGGGGCTATTCAATCCGCAGTGAATGTGCATTTGTTTACTTACAAAAATAAGAATTTCAGATACAATGAAAAGCAGACTAGTCTATATGCTACTGAATAGAACATGCAACAGGGTCATCAATTGTAGTTTATTTTATCAGTTTCTGACATGTTAGCATTCATTCAGAGGCGGGCTGTGAAACATCCCATATATAACTGGTTATCAGAGGGAGAGAAAAACAGCTATATAACCTAACTTAATCAGTGTCAAAGGCACCACTTGTGAGGATAACCTTCCCCATGCCTTATGAAGAACCGCCCTGCTCGCTGGCCTATAGCACGCAGGGAATAATGATACTTAGGCATAAGCAATGCTCTTTTGAATGAGATTCCTCTACTGTTCCACAAAAAAGGCACCCCATAACACTACGTGCAGCCCTGCGTATCAAAGGCAGTGCTGAGCCCTAACGAGGAAAAACTGAGGTAACCCGTGCTATCTGCATAGAGTGGCAGGCAAACAATGGCAGAAACAATACAGACATAAAGTCCCCCCTTAAAAAGTGGTAACGGGAGTTAAAGCTACAGAGTATTTTTTCCTCAGTGTTTTCAGGATCAGGAGATCTAAAGTTCTTCAGATGATAAGTCTGTAGAGTTTACCAAGACCATCTGCAACAATGATGTTTAACCTCCCAAGTAATGAAGTCACAGGTGTAATTATTTTATGGAGGTCACTTCAACCTCGTGATTTGGTCGAGGCAATAAAACAGATCTCCAGAAAGGAGGTGGGGAACAAGGGAGGGAGCTCTGTGTTCAAATAGCTACTGCATGCTCTCCATCTCAGCCACCTGCTAGAAATTATAACCTCTAGACTTCAGTGCAAAACCAATTCAGTTTATACATTCACCTTAACATAAAATTTATTATTTCATACTACATATTAACCTGACTAACAACTTCTGCCAGCATTTAATTGCCTACCTGTTCAGCAGATTTATGTGTTGAGGCTTTCAATAGAGTTAAATGCACTGCTTCCCTGAATAAATTAAGCAGTACCAAAGATAGTTATTATTTCAAACCTAGAAAGGAGCTTTATTATTATACCATGCCAAGATCTATTCAGCAGCTTTACTTCTCAAGCTAACATTCAGCTTGAATCCAGAGTGAGGACAATCTCATCTAAGGAGAAATTATTCAGTATCCTTCAGGCAAACAACTGTGAGAAGAATTAGTAAGAAATCCTGCTCTGAGAAGTGGAGCTGCCTTACCGGCAGCAATATCAGGAATGCATTTGTAAGCCTCCTCAAACTCCAGGCCTCCAAGTGGCCTATAAATCACTAGCCCTAGCAATTGAAAAGACTAATTTTAATAGTGTACTTCTTCACTGTGGTGATTAAGCCTCAATGAATCACTCAAGAAAATTCAATTACATCAGCAACACAACCTATTTTTAAGCGTGCATTTAGGTTGAAAAAGTAATTAGATATTATCATTAGATCTAGCATTAACAACATTCAAACCTTTTTTGTAATCAAACAGTTTAGAATTAACTAAATGGAAACACAAATCGTGTTTGATAAAGGAAGCATATCCCCAGGCTCTGTAACATCGTTGAATTCAGCTGCTCGGCTACTTTCGTTTCACCGATGGCTAATAAACGCGATCAAGGTAAGTTAAAAAAGGCGAAAGCAGGTTGGGGCTGGCGGAGGAGAGCTCGGATCATCCGGCTCTTCTGCTTTGGAAGAGTGACCTCTGTAGGCATAAACCCAGCGAGGGCTAGGATGCAAAAGCCTTCCTTCCCCTTCCTCCAAGGCCGAGCCAAGGCTGTTTTCCACCAGCACAGCAGGCCCACTCCTGCAATGCAACCCCGGCTCGTAGCCTTTGCCTTTCGAGAGCCTAAAGAGCCTTATAAAGCCCGCTTTATAACAGGCCAGGCCGCTTTATCCTCTGATGTGATGCCGTGTCTTTCTGAAGTCAAAGAAAGGCTTCAACTATGCAGCATCATGCAAGTGCTAAGCCAGTGACTGGAGCTTAAGTTTATTTTAACAGGCTTCCCACCTGGTACATATACAAAATGAGCATTTGTCAATTAATGTTACAAATAAAGACACCGAATTGAGTAGTCCATAGCGTTCCTGTCAGGCGTTTTTTAAGAAATACCAGAAAACTACTCGGTAAAGAAGTCTTACAGAAATATAGCAAGTATTCACATTATTTTTTAAAAAAAAAAAAAAAAAGGCAGAAATCTGTAGCGATTTTTTTTCCTTCAGTGAAAACAACAGGAGATAATGATGCCTGGAAGGCAAGGCTACTTGATAAACCTGAGATGCTACTTTTAATTCAAACTTTGAAATCTTCACCAAACTCCTGGAGATCCTGCCACCTACGCAGAATTAATCCTTGATCCAGGAAATACTCCATTCATTCTTGTCTCATCACCACATAACACTTCCTCTACAAAGTCCCCTGGGAAAACAAGATGTGTACTCACTGGACTTAATGGGAAATTCTAAATTCAATTAACACAGTGCATATGGCTTAATTTTAAATATCTATAATTGAAGATAGAACATGCGTTTAAAGGAATTATTTTAACCCATTTCTGGTGTTGCATCACTGGTTTAAAACTCCCTAAACGCATTAGACTATTTCTTTTTACTGTGATTTCTGTTTTATAAACTAGTGGTTATAATCGCAAAAGTTCAAAAGATCTCACAACTGCACAGAGACAGTTTTCACTTTGTATGTCAAAAATTCAAGGGGAGAAAAGAGTAGCAGAATTAGCTTTTTATCACTGCCTCAGACTTCTTTTTAGAAGGACGGCCCACTTTCCAGAAGTTCCTCTTTCCAATAGCAATAATTTTGTATGTTTAAGTAAAGAGAACTTTTTTAAAGGATACGCTTCTATTTTAAGAGTGTGCTTTAACAGTGAAGTCCTGGGAACGCATGTACATTTTTGCCTGGGTTTGCTAATGAAGAATGACACTAAATGGTTGTGTGATGGGTAATGCTTAGTTCATTACTCACTGACATGGGCCTTGATACCATCAACTCCACAACCAAATTTAGCCCTGTTATAAGCAGATGTAACTTCGCTGGAGTCAATGGGATGAGTTTGCATCTGCAGACGGAGAAGTTGAAGAGTATCACCCTTTCCTGGCAGCCCAGGGCAGGCAGCCCGGCTACTCCGGCCTCCGCCGCTGCTCTAGCCCGGGCGAGCCCGGACCCCGCCCGCAGGTCTCAGCCTGCTACCGCCGCCCCACTTTCCATCCCGCTCCCGGTCCACCGCCCCCTCCCATCGCGGCCAGCCCCCCTTCCTGGGACCCTCCCGCCGGGGACCAGGGGCGACGGGGCGCTCCGCCGTCACACAGAACCCCCGTCCTGGGGAGGGCCGGATCCTGCCGCCAGCCCTGGCCAGAGTCCCCTGCAGCCGCCGCTCACCGCTGCTGCCCCCACCCTGTCCCCGCGTCTCCCGGCGCCCGCAGCCGGGTTGCGGCACCGTCCCGTCCCTTCCCCGCACACGGCCGCGAAGGACAGCGCCGGCCCCCAGGGAGACGGTGGACGGGAGCGGGATGGAAACTTACTTGGGGTTGGAGGAATTCCAATATATGGGGTCTAAAACGATGGACCGCGCCAGTGCAGTTCTGCATAAAACCATCACGGCTCCCCAGCAGTACTTCCAGGCGGAGGCATCTCGCCTCCGCGCTGCCATGGTCGCAGGCGGCACCGAGTCCCTCCCCGGAGCCTCGCCAACTCCGCCGTGCGCCTTCCCCCGCACCTGAGCAGCAACAGCAGGGTGGGTGCCCGGTATCCCAACAGCTGGGACGGTTAATAGGGAATAATAATAATAATAAAAAAAATCACAAGCTAAGAGTCGACGATGTAGTTGGCGAGCGCTGCAAGCAGATCTACTGAGTCATGTATGCCACTCGCACGTAGGAATATCTCCTGCGAGGTTAAGATCCAAGCTACCTCCGAAGTAACAGCAATAACAAAAACAAAATGCAAACGCCTCAGTTCTTCCTCTTACAGGGGGTCTCCCGGCTGCCTTGGAAGATGTCACTCAAACTGCCAACTCCCATTTGAATCCAGAGCGCCATACGCGTTCACAGTGTCTTAAGGCTCGCGTGAAAAGGAGTAGGAAAAAAAAAGAAAAAAAAACCACACCAGGGTAAAATAAACGGTGGTAGGAGAAATACAGGGGTGAGGGAAAAGGACACAGCTTCGGCGGGAGGCTCCTCCTGCGTGTCTCTCACTGCTCCCCGCAGTTTGCAATCCGCAGGACACTAGCCCGGACTGTTTCGGGGAGCTCGGAAACACCCGCGAGTCAATAAATCCACTCCGAGTCAGCTCCCGCGGTCCCAGGGAGGCGCATCCGCAGGGCTCCGGCTTCCCCGGGGAGCACTGCTGTCCTTGTCGCCGGCAAAGACCACGGAACGTAGCAAGGAAAGAAAGAGGGACGGATAAGAGTAAATAAAAAATAAAATAAAATAAACCAAAATAAAATGGGCGGCGGGGGGGGGGGGGGTCGCAGCGTCAAATCGTCCCTCTCCCCCGTTGCGCGATCTGCAGTGCGCGCCGCGGCGGCCGACAGATTGAGGACGAGGAGGATCGCCGGGCGCGGGACTTGTGCCGCCACGCAGCCCCACCGCGGAGGGGAAGGCGGGGAGCGAAGGGAGAGGAGCAGCGCCAGCCACGGCCGTTCCCACCGCGGCGCCTCCAACCCGCGATGTCGCCGCTCCGCTGCTGCCACCCCTGCCGCCCCGGCGAGTTCCCGGCGCAGGAGCGCGGCCGGCGGCAGCGCGCTGCCGTAGCCATATAAGCGCGGCCCCGCCGCCCCGCCGCCGTCGCTCATAGGGCCGCCGCCGGCCCGCCGCGCTGGTTGGGCGCCGCGCCTGTCACTTACCGCGGCCACGGCGGGCGGGGCCGCGCCGGGCCGGGCCGAGCGGGGCCGCCAGGTAACACCCCCTGTCCTCGCCACGCCGCGCCTCGGGCGGCCGGCGTGAGTGGGGAGCCCACTAGCTGTTAGTCACGCCGGGGTGGTGGGGGAAGCACGGCGGGCCCACTCGGGGCGAACCCGGGGGGGGGGGGGGGAGCGGTGGGAGGGAAGAAATTAAATAAGCATTAAAACCCACTCTTTGCTAAATTGTTTCCCCAGTACGGTTTACAGAGCGGGGAGCAGCTGCAGGGCCAGGGAATACGGGGCTCCCCCGCACCTCGCCCGCCGGTGCGGGCGCAGCGCCCCTGGGGAGCGCGGCTGCCGGCGCTGCTTGGCAAGTGCCCCGGGGGCGCGGAGGTCCCCCCGCAACTTTCTGCGGGTTCCCTGCCGGGCAGAAGGGCAGGGGGTGCTCCAGCGCTCAGTCCCCACTGTCCCTCCTCCTGGCTTCTGGCAGTTTTCAAAGTTTGTCTGGTTGCGTGAAAATTAAATAAAGAAGAGTCGGACACGCGGAGCCCCTCAAAGGGATGCGGAGCGGTGAACAACGCGGGGCTCTGGGGCCGGGTAAGGGGTTCCCTGGCATTTCCCTGACGATTGCTCAGCACTTCTTTCCTCCCCTCCAGAGTTCGGTGGGTAAAGGTTCGGACCCAATTCTTCGCGTATCTCAACGGCACGACACCCGGCCCTTTTATTTCGTTCTATCAATAACTTCTGTCCAGAGCGAGCTACCTGCGGGCAGCGCGGGAGATGCTTCCCCCGCGGCCCCGCAGGTCCCCCGAGGGGTGCGGAGGGCGCCGGGGGGTCGCGGCAGCCCCCGAGGGCGCTCCCTACGCCGCGCTCGGAGCTCGACGCGCCGCGGCTCCCGCGGCTCTTCCACGGGACCAGAGCTCCCACTAGCGGCCAGCCGCTGCCCTCCGCGGGGGGAGCGGTGCCCCCGGCTGTGCCCCTCCGCTGCTGCCCCGCGTCCTGCCGGCGCGCCGCCTACGCCGTTCCCCCGCACAAGTCCCCGCGTAAGGCGAAGCGGGACGGCGGTGCTGCGGCACCGGGCTGGGGAGGCAGCACACGCGAGGAGTCCGCAACAAGGGCTGTACCGAGGCTAAACACGGGTTGTGTAATGTCATAGTCGCTCCTGTGAAACTAAAGGGGTTACCGAATTTCTTCCAGCAGGGATTTCTTGCCAAAATAGTATCTGCAGAAAGGATTAAAAATTAAATCCCAGGAAATGACGACGTTATTTCTGTCATTATCTCACCTTTTAGTCGAGGCACGCAAAGAACATACTACCAAAGACCCTAATAAAGACCCAATTTCGCATAATTTTATTCCCGAAAAATACAGACATTCACCTAAAAATCAGCTTCCTGGGGGTGCTTGTGCGGCTTTTAGACGAACGCCAAGAAGCTCTTATAAGGAAAACAACTGGCACTATAATTTTTTTTCTCGCATCAATTTTGGAAACCAGTGTTCTCTTTTCACCTCTTTTAACTAAACCAGTGTTTCAGCCTGGCAGAGCCCGCTCCTCTCGCTCGCAACAGAGGGGAAAGAAATTTGAGGCACCCTCGAAGCCCCCTAGATTTTGTGTTGTGTTTGGTAGTTCTCTAACGAAATCTACCCCTTAAAGAAACAAGGAAATCAGTTTGCTTTTCACACAAAACATCGAATACGTTTTCAGTAAACTGCTTAATTAAATTTAATTTGCAGTGAGGAAGGATTTGCAGATCCGTCAACGCAATTTGGTGGAAAAGGATCTGATTCCCGGGACGGAAACTTAGCACTGAAGTGGGAGACATAGCTTGGGTATCTATGCACTACAAGGGGCATCAAAGGCGAACTTCGCCAGTGAGGGAGGAAAGTACTTAATTAATAAACTTTTAAACAAATGTGTGGTGTTTTGCCGGTCGTGAGACAATGTAAACACGGAGCCCGATAAATGCTTCCAGCAACAGAGACGTGTAAAATACCTCAATCTTGTGATACTGCTGCTTCTGTTTGTTTAGATGCAAAAGGTTAGGAGCGGTGTTTTGTAAAAACTGTGAGTAAACTGTGACCTCTAACTCTCCGTATCCTTGCTTTAAGTAAATCAGAGGAAATGAAGAGCCCTGGTATTGTCTGAAAATATCCTCCAGTATCTAAATATATCACACGACGCCTATTGTCCAGCGGCTAATCATTTTACGCAAATACAGCGGTTTTACTTTACCGTCCAGCATCCTACCGATGCACGCTGTAAGTGTATAAAAAATTGAGTTAACAAAATCACTTTTGAATAAGAACCAAGAGAAAAACGACACTTTATCTCAGAGATAACCTAAGCATCAAAGATTAAGACATCCAAAGAAATGGGGGCACGATAGCCACTCCGCCCAGGTCACCCTTTTTGGTCGAGGGACCGGTCCCTGCGGCTGGGGTCGAGCCGGGGGGTGGGGGGCCTTTCAGCACCGCGGAGATACTTACGGGTGCGAGCAGGACCGGGCCGGACCAGGAGGCGGGAGGCGGGCGGGAGCGGGCGGCGCTCGGAGGGGCCGCGGCGGCGCGAAGCCCCCTGGCAGCCGCGCTGCGACCGCGCTCCCTGCCCGGTCCGCGCACCCTGCGCCCGCTGCATCGGCCTCCAACATTCCCGTCTCGCCTCCGAGAAGCAACAGGGATCGCCTCGGACATGGGGGAAACGTGAGAGGTTGAGGACGGTGCTTAAAAGCAAGAGACGACAAATGTTCGGAAGTTAGAAATCGGCTTCGGCCGCGTCTTCTCGGAGGGCTATTTCAGGAGGAGGTTCCGGCAGACATTTCAGGTTTCGCAGGGAACGCGATTTCCTGACATAGGAACTCGCAGGGGACAGGCTGCTGGGGGAAATCCTGCCACGGCCGTAGGAGCGGCACCGCGGTTCCCCGGCGCCTGGGCGGTCCGGCTTGGCGTGAGGATGGACACAAAAGTGGACATACGGGTGGATGGATGAGTGCGACCAGCGAACAGGTGAGACTCATCTATCCCTTTCCTTCACTGAAAAACTGGGACTCTGCCGTTTTCTGTACCTCAGCCAGGCTTAAAACAAAAAACCGGGTTTATCGCTGAATAACCCTTTTCGCCTTCTTTTGGACGGTGATGTGAGCAATAGTTACATAGACATTTGCTCTGGTCCTACGAAATCCATAACAAAAGGCAGCTAACCTGAATGGGATCAGGATTGGGCCCACAATCCCTGATTCTCTTTTAAACATCAGTCTAAACATCGACAATGAGAATATATGGGACATAAATTTTTTTATTAGGTGGAAAAGCTCACCATCATTAATCATTACTTTAAAATGTACCAATTTTAAAAGTCGAAAATATATAACTCAACGGATACAATTACTGCTAAATTTAATAAAGAGAAATGGTCACAATTGATGCTTACTGACTTAAATGGATTCTTTATCATTTCTCCAAAGGGCAAGTGTGCCAGATACTTGAAACAGCTCTTAATATATCATTCACACCACAACAATGTATTTTCTGCACTTATGCTAAATATATATCTGGATATTAATTTGCCTTCCTCAGGTCTGTTTTATAACTGCAATTTTGGTTAACCATAGCTTCTTAGAAAATGAGCTTGGCTCCTCCTAAATACAACCATAGAATTCAAGCAGCCATATAGAAATCAGAAAAGAAGTTCATACACCCTAACCATGCATTTTGTTTGACTTATACCAATTCTCAGTAGCACTCTGCAAAAACAAAAATATTTACATTATTATGTGGTCTGAGTGATATGAGTGGTAGGAAAAAGCACCTTGGGATCAAACTTCTATGCACCTATCCCTTTATTATAAAAGGGGGGTTTGTGTCCTGTTGAGCAGAGCTGATGCTGAATCAGCATAACCTTGATTTTAAGTGTGAGTCCAGGGAGAATGATCGGAAGCATGAGGTTGTTCAGTGCAGAGACATCAAGAGGCTCAGCACTCTTCAGCTGGCTAACGAAAGTGTGGGATGGGGAGATGGAGATAACCCTGAAATGCATGTGTGGTGGCACCAGGATGAGAATGGAATACAGATACATGAAAGTCATGGTTCAACTCCAGCCAGACTAGCCTGTCAGTCCGAAACCATACCAAACTAGGCACTTTGACCATATCCTCCTGCCTTGGAATGAGCCTTAGGCACACAGGCAGCTCCACAGTTCTCTTCTGAAATCAATCTCCTCTGTAACACAGCCTGGAAGGTGTTTATTAACTTGAATTTTGCCTGCACTTGCACCAAGACCCTGCAATGACAGAGCTAAGATCCCAAATGCTCTGAAAATGTTTAATGAGATACTGTGCACAGTTTAAAGTCAATAACCAACACTTCCATATTTGGTGTAGGTCCAAAAAATGGCACGTTAGTGGCATAACAAAGAGGGGATTACCAGCTTCAGGTCAGCAAGAGAAAAAGAGAGGGTGAGGTGTATGAGATGGCACAAAGCTAAAGAGAAAAGGAGAAATATCAAAGGTAAATCCTTCTCTTTCAAGACAAGATAGGAATGGATGAACTATTGATACTTTAGTGAGATTATACATAGGTATGCAGTTGCTTGGCAGTTTAGGTATCTCACTGACCTAACTGTCTCTGCTTTGCTAAGCTTCAAGGATTCCATCTCTCCAGTACATTTCACAGCAGCCAGCTGTCCACTTGTACTTGGAAAAGCAATGATATATGAACATGGGAATTAGCAAATTGCCAAAGTAAGAGCACATGTTTAGCATGCTGCTCTAAGGCCTTTCATGCTCCTGCCTTTGCCAGACAGATACACTGTTCACTATTAGAATAATTATCCAGGACATTTATGAACAGGGGTTGGGGAAGCTAAGACCTCTTCTGTTATCATATAAGGGAAATGAACACTGTTCAAGGTAGGTGGCAACAGAAATGCCTACTGGCCACGCTGGGTGAGTCAACAAAATAAAAAAACCCAAAACAAACTAAAAATTGTTTAACATAAATTTGAAGTTGAAACTTCAAACTGTAATGAAATAAAAATTAACACCCAACACATTCACCAACAGCAGTTTCTCCAGGTAGGTCAGTATCTTCTTAAAGATGCATGCAGGGAGCTCAGTTTAACCACCACATAAAAGTCAGCCTAAACAGGCATGAAGTTCTATAGGAATATAAGAACATGCGAAGTTCTCATCATCAAACGTCAATTTACCCCCCTCCCAAACTATGCACACCTCTATTTTCCTAGAAATCAGTGTCCCTGAAGTCCTACAATAATTTTAAAAAGAAAGACAACCACAGTGCAATGCAAATGTAACATTTGCCCACACCAGACTTACAAAGAACTATCTCACAAATAAAGAATGCTTTAGGACAGCAGAGATTCCACTAACTGACCTTCTACCCCAATAGAGGGGGGAAAAAAACCAAAACAAACCCAAAAAGAACAACAAAAAACAAAACAAAACCACAAAACAACCAAACAAAAAACCACCAAACCCAAAACCCTAGCTGCTTTTGCGCTTTTGAGGACAGGGTAAAGAGAAACGGGTAGTGAAATGGGAAAAGGCGGAATGGGCAATCTCATTTGGAATGAGCATTTTGTCCAAGATAGCCCTAGAGGTGTGACTTAAAATAACCTTGTAACATCTAAGCCTACACAATGTTATATGCAGAGAACAAAAGCTGCTATTTAGCAGCAAATTATGTGATGCAGAACAAAATGCTTGATACCCACAGCTGCACACATGATTACTTAGCTTCTTGTTTTTAGAAGAGGAAATGAAACTGCATAGGTCTGTTTTGAGTATTGACTTTTAATAGCTTGTTTCTCATAAGGGAACAGGGGATGTTTTCTGTTTTAGAAATACAGGTATCAGTTGATCTTTAAATACAGCCTGCTCCTGCCAACAGGTCATGTACATGATTTATTTGGCTTCAGCTTTTGTTTTTATGCATTAAGCAACTTTCAACCTTCTTTTGTAATACAATATATAGGCAAATTTAAGTACAATAATATTGTAGGTATTTTATCGTCTTCACATTTTCTTGACATGCTGGACAAAGTTATACAGATCAGTCTGCACCCCAAGCCCCAGTTTCATACAAAGCATGTTGAATACTGCTTTCAGTGGCACACTCAACTTGCTCCCACATTTAATTTGCCAAATCTACAGAAACAGACCCTTTAGGAATATGAGGAATTACTTCTGACTTTGTCCAGTGACATTCAAATGCTCAGGCAACTATTGGTAACTTTCATTTTATGATTACTACAGATGTTGCACACTGACAGGAAAAGAAAGTTTTAGAACTGGACAAGCTATAGTAATCTAGGTTTTGGTAGAAGAATTATATACAAAAAGGGGATTTATATATATAGTTTTCAATCTGTTGTTTCATTTTTCAAAATAAAACCTGTATATATAAATGGATAATATTCAAGATCTGTATATGAATAACAGTTGCTTTCTGGCTAAAACAATATATTTAGACAGAGTCTCACTTTCTGTTAGTCACTTCAAGTATACTAGCCAGTCCAGTCCTTTGGGAGAAAAAACTTCCATTTTTAAATCCTTGAGGATCCATCAGATTCATTATATGGTAATGACCTTAACTTATACAATATACTACATTATGAGGTGAACCGAAGGGGATTAGATATCGAAGTACCGGTCTGGGTGCAGTAAGCCGAACAGCCGTTTAAATATGACACTAGAGCTGAAATAAGTCTCTGTCAGAATAAAAACCAACATTCATAAAAACAGCAGCAGCCATCAAAAACATTCACAACTGCAGGGATTTTTTTACTGGGTGTAATTTTGCATTATAAGTAGGAGAAGCCACAATAGTTTAAAGCAAAATTTAAAAAAATACCACTATAGTCTTGAATTTAATAATGTGAATTGTCACTCTTATAGCTGTTTATAGAAGTGTGCTAAAAAAATTTACTTAAACATATGAATTTAAGACTTTCACTTTATTCAGCAAATTGGTTTATTTACACAATGGGGAACGCTGGTTGAATGCTGTCAATGTAATAAAAACAAATCTAACAGAGACAATACTGCTCTCTATGTATTCATAGCAGAAATGACAAACTATTTCCTTACCTGTATCAGGAACATCAAGCGCAACAACGGGACAGTATCATAGGACACTGATTTAACAATAAACCGCAGAGGTCCAGTAATACTATGGCAATTTACTCATGTATTTACTGACTTCAAAAAAAAACATTAAAAGTCAGCAATACCCAGTATAAAGTTCTGTCAATTATCAGAGTCAAACTCTGACTAGTAGGTCAGTAAAACCTTATTAGATCATCCACAATTCATGAAGTGACATGACTTGCTTCAGATCACCAGTACAGAAACAAAACTGATGAAAACAGATTATGCTCTAAAAGGCAATGATGATCTGATAAGGGTTTAACTTAATGGAAGTTTTAAAAAAAATAAGAATTGCAGAGCACAGCCCCTATTAGAACAAGCTAACTTTCCAACTTTCAAAAAAGACAAAAAAAAAATTGAGAGGAAAAAAACCAAAAACACTTCAACATGAAGCTACCATACAAAGTTTTTTTTGTTTTCCTTTTTTTTGTTTGTTTTTTTTTTCCGATTCTTTTTTTTTTCTTTTAGGAGTTCAGAGTTGAAATTTAATCCTGGCTTTTTAGGGAGAAAGACAGTTTTGGCCTAGACTTTCCTTTGCCCAGGATAATTTTTTGCTCTTCCTTTTGCTGACGTTGTCTCTCTTGTTCTAGTTTCATCCTCTCCTCATGAATCTTTCTTTGTTCTTCAACAATTTTCAATTGTTCTTCAGCCTATGGAAGAAAATGATAAAATTTAGGCCAGCCTATTTTTTAGTCATAAAAGCAATTTACAAGTCCATATTAACTTCCAAACAGGTCCAATCCTGCATAGGTATGTAAGCAGTTCTGCCTGAGCTAGATGCCATCGTTGGTTTCAGTGAAACTATTTATAAAATGGTTATTTGAATTGAGTTTAGAAGAAACACTGAGAACTTTCTACAGCTCATGTATTGAAATCTTGAGTGCTTACATGCCATATTTTTCAGCACTGCTGTGCAAATAACACTTTAATTAAGGAAGACAGTACATAATCAAAAGATATTCCCTGATGTGTAAGATGCAGGCACAGTGAAGTAACACACCTTCAAGCAAAGGTCTCTCTGCTCCAAACCCCTCTAAAAACCCCTTCTAATCCAAACCTATCTTTACTCGATTTGTAACTAGTCAGTCCTTACACTGACCGATGGTTCTTACAGCTCTTCCAATGGTCTTCTAAAGGTGCTTATTTTGTTCACTACATCAGTTTAAATTTTCTTTATGTCCTGTTTCAACCAAATAAGGTTGAGAAAAGGGTAAAACAGGAGGAGATCTAAAGCAGGTGCAGTTCAAGCAAAGAGTTTTAAGAAGCCTCCTTTTTACATGAAAGAACTGTAATTACCTGGGCAATTGAAACTGATAGAGTTCAATCAGGACTTAGAAGACACTTATTTTAGCTTATCATCAAGTGATTAGAATCAGTTAAATCATATTAAATATTTTCATGTGGCAGGCACCTGATTAAATGGGCTTGAAGACCAACATATGCTAGACTTTTCTGACTTAGACATCTTAATCTTATGCTGAAAGTCCCTTTCAGCACTTCAACATCAACATTATACTAGTCTCAAATCCAGTTTGTACTTGTCCTGCTCAACGGAACAGAATTAGTCATTTGAAGCTGAACATGTCTGCAAACTTACTTCAACCTTCCCCATGAGCTATAGTTAAAATGGACTTTTTAAATTCCGAGGGCAGCAATTTCCCTCTAAATTAACTGCATCCAAATTATAGTGTTACTGCTAAGGATCTAGTCTTTTACACTCAGGGGAAGGAGAGCAATGCTATTGATGCAACCAGCAATAGGTAAGTTAAACTCTAGAAAGGGTCAATTTGTTCAACTGTGTTGCAAATCTAGCAGAGACACCTGTATTTCCCTACAAACTGGTTATCTACATCTTCACATACCAGTTTAGCTTGTGCTTCTGCAATTTTTCGATTATTCTCTTCCAGAATTCGCTCTAGTTCCTCACGCTTTGCACGCTCTTCTTCCTAAAGGGGAGGACAGGGCAAGATGTTAGTAAAGTAAAATATTAATTTCTGCATGTTCACTAATCTTTCTCAGAATTCTTCTGTGAACTGACTTAAAGTGGCAGCTTTACAGCCACCTATTTTGTCTCACAATGGTAAACTGTGCAGCCACTAAAACTGGTTTCTACTACTCAATTTAAATCATCCCGCCCAGTCCAAACAGCAACCAACTAAACCCTCCCTAATCATAGAATCCTGACAATTTATTACTAGAATTTTAATATCACACAAATCAACAAGGACAACTACAAAAACTGGATAGTATTTACCAAATTAAAAAGTAATATAGAAAATATAAATAAAGTGAATAGTTTGTCTCACCAATTAAGTATACCTACGTATTCTTTACCTATACTCCTTTAATCAGCATTAAAAGTTGAATATTTACTGTCTTGTCCAGTGTCCTGCAGAGTGTGCTCCTCGGCTGCCATACGCGCCAGCTTCCTCTTTAAAATGATTTGTACTGTTAGCTTGGCAATACCTGCATCAGCAGCTCAACCATTTATAAAGAAACAACATACAAGGAAGGCTGAGCTGAGGAATGCAGATGTTTATGGTAAGAAGGAACAAAAATATGTAAATCATTCCTAAGGCAAACAATTAATAAGAAAAATACATTTACTGTTAGTGAAAAATACAAATGGTAATCCATACTTCATGGAGCTATGGGCTTCTTTCATGGGGAGAATGGACTTAACATTCAGTATTTTGACAATTTTAAGACAGCTGAAACTGTCGTTTGCAGTATGAACTTGGAATTCAGGAGTCCAGGGAAGGCAAGATCAGGAAATAAAGCCTTGTAATTGTTGTTTTCTTGGTGAATTTTATGGAACTCTGTTATGCAACTCAAATATGAAGACTGCGTGAAAGTTTTTGAGGTGTTTCAGTTCACATAATATATATCCGAATTATTTTAATATTTGGAGGATTTAAAGTTAGCCAGAGGTTTGTGTCTGTGTAAGAAAAAAAAGTTAATACGAACAAAGCAAGCATATGAAAACTTCTTACTATGACTAGTAACGAGCTACTAGCTAGCACACTTCACTCCAGGCACGGAGGTTTATTATGTGTTATAAAGAACTGATGAGACTTCTCCACATGATATTGACAATAGCAAAAATACTTTTTAAAAAGAGTCATCCATCTGATCAAATGAAAACCTCTATATATGAAGAATTTTCTGACGATGAACATGTAAATTCAATGTAAACTCTTTCATATTGAAGTCTGAATTTGCAAAAAAAGTATAATTTAATATTTTTAGTATTTACTGTAACTCAGCATTCCATTTTTTCATTTAATTAAATGATATTATGTAACTGACAAGTCACATTTAGTATGAAGGGGAAAGCTGCATTGCTACTGTCTCTCCTTCTGTAAGCCAATCAAAATATTAATTTAAAATAAACTGTGTAGGAGGTATAGAGTGAAAAAAGCATTCAACACTTATGACTATTTAGCACAGATTTCCTTTACAGTTTGAAGTTTGTTTTGAAACTTTTGGATCCTGGAATGATTGGTGCAGGCAGGCATCAAAGCCTTTAGTAGCAAATTACTGTCTCACAGAAAGACATTTTCAGCTTCTGCTCCAGCTGCTGATTAAAAAAACAAAACAAAACAAAAAAATCCAAAAACCCAAAAACCCAAGTCACACGTTCAGCTTGACTTCAGACAAGGGCAACCTGCTCTTTTATAACTTCTAGGGAGAAAAAAAGGAGTTGTTAGTAGTTATTAAGAATGGGTATAATGATTTGGACAGAGATCCTTCATGAAGACGTGAATGGGCTTATGCTCGAAGTCCCAGAATTAGTCCAATGTATGCTCAAGGAAAACGTTCATTTTAAAATGAAGAATAAGAAACCTATTTGTTAAAGACAGGTACTGCAGATCACTGCTGGACCCTGCTTTTTGCCTGACTGAAGGCAAAAGCCTCTTACAGTCTAGGTAAACAAAATGAAACAAATGAAGGATACATAATTACAAGTTTTTCAATACCCTTCCCCAAAAATGAAAGGACTGCTGATAAATCCTGCAGCCATGGCAAAAGTTTCAAACAATTCTGAAATATGTAGGTCAGTTCCATTAAAAATCAAGTATCCTTGTTCAGGTTTTAGGAGAATAACTGTTTAAATATCAGTGAGCTCCTCTGAATAGGCTAGAAATTAAGTTTCGCAGCAATGCAAGTTTATATGAGAAGGGAATTAGATTTGCTGTATTCCATCTCTTTCTGAACCGAACAGGAGGCACAAACCAACACTGAAAGTTTTGCCATGGACTGTCTCTACTTTCCAAACGACCGAGCGTTACCTCTCTGGCTTTTTGTGCTGCAAGTTCAGCTTGTCGCTGTCGCTCGAGTTCTTCGAGCAACTGTTTTTCCATGATGCGCTTAGCCTCCTCCACCCTGCGGAGAACCTCTCGCTCAATCTCATCCTTTCTTTTCTCCAACTCTTCTTCTACACGTTTAGCCACAAGTTCTTCCACTCTTCGAGCAGTTTCTTCCTCTATGAGTTTCTCTTCAATTTCTTGTTGACGACTACAAAATGCAAACATGAGGATTACCTTTTTAATCCATAAAGAATGTTTGCACTGAAACAAACTCCTTCAATACCCAGCATCAGCCACGCTACTGAATGACTTTTGAAAAGTTTTATATCTTATACACAAATTACATATATAAAGAATACTTTGACCTACATTTAAAGAAAGTGAATATTCAGCCACTGTTCCTGCTATAGGGAATCCATTCAGCCCATACCATACTTAGCATCTCTATAAATACTAACAGACTATGATTAGGAATACATATTCATACTACTTCTTCACCGTAATTGGGGGGGGGGAAGTGAGAGAAACCCCAAACCAACAAATAACCCCTCCCCGAAACACAAAACAACAACCGCAACCCCACCACCCCTCCAAAAAATCCAAATCCCACCCAACTTTGACCATCCTTCAGGAGTTCAAATGTTCTCAATTTGGTCTCAATGTGTAGCAATAACATCCTGTAAAATCTTCCCTAAAGTTACCACCTCAGAGGCACCAAACTCATCACTAGAAACTTGAAATAGAAGACAGAAGCAATAAAATTTGTGATTTCAATATTTTAACTAGAATTCCAGTGGTATACCTGTGATCTAGTTATCCAATCATTTACCTATCAAATTTTGAGTACCCCAGCTCTCTTAAGTTTTTTTATTTCAGCACTCTGTTCTGACTGTAATTATCCATAATAAATTATACCAATATCAAGCACTAAATAAATCCTTGTGAACTACAGCTTTCCATGTTCAGAGTTTTAGAAATATTTTCAAATGTCTTGTCTTTAATTTTGTTTAGCAGCATTATTATCACTTAGCCTGACTGCTGTTTAAGTTTTCATTAAGGATACAAAGAGTTTAGCTAAATTTGCAATTTAATTACCAAATGCAGGGGAAAAAAACATTCCAGGTAGTAATCACCAGTACAACACAGCAATTACATATCCAAAGACGAATAGTGAACACTGTAAAGTTGTATTTCATACAGTGCCATTTATCTGGAATTGTTATGGGCTTTGGGGAGAAAACTGTTGCTTTTAAACTTGACATTGAACTTTCATTTTAAGTATTCTGTGAAGTACAGAACTGTTGCGTTAGAACAACCTTATAAAACTAATTTTTTGGTTTGTCAGTGATAAAAACCCTTGATTTAGAATAGCAACTACAACTGCAATATCTTCATATCCTGTCATTTTCATAATGCTTGCATTCTTCTATCTCAGTTGGAAAACCTCTCCTAATCTATCTTATTTGGAAAACAAGTAATTAAAAAAAAAAAAAAAAGTTACAGGATTTACCAACTTTTCAATTTCCCAAGATACAATTTGCAAAGATGAAATAGGAGATGATGAAGTATGGATCTAGATAGGCATGCGAAACACAAAGCTGAAAGGCTCCCAATTCCTTCTTTTTACATGTCATCTTTTCAGAAGTGAGTTAACTTCAGTAAAAAGTTTTGGAACCCTCAACTCGTCTGAGAAGACGAATTTTATTCTTACATTCCTCAAGAGACAGCCATCTTACCTAGGGGCACAATAGGCCACTATTCACTTTTCCAAAATGGACACAAAATGCCTTGAGGTGATTTTTTCAGAAAAAAACAGACAACAAAAGGCAAACAAAAAACCTAGACCACTATCACCATCCAGAAAAATGCAACACCCCCATTCCAATACAGTAGTATCTCTGCCAAGCCACGATCCTTTCTGGACAATTTTTAAAACATCCTTTATATACTAAATATCCTTTTAAAAGGTTTTCATTTCCTCTTATGAGGTTTTATTTAGCAACGAGTACTCTCACTATCCTGTACCAATACTGTTTAGCATACCTAAGTGGCTGTTCTAGAGAAAAATTCTCAGAAAGTTCATATTCTTGCGTTTTATTCAACTATCACAGCTTTATATTTAACACTTGGAAATCCAGAACAAAAGTTAACTAAATGAATAAAGATAGTGCATAGTTACAAAAATACCCATGACATTCATGTCTGAAATAAATTTTCAAATATCCTCAGCAGTGGATGATGTACTCACTGTGACTGCAAATGTTTCATTCTTCTCACCCCAACAAATTCCATTTAAATTTAATTAAACCAATCAAATGTATTTTTTAACACTTATAGGCAATGATAATACTACAATGCCTTTGACCTCATCAAGGAAATTAAATTATAAACACAGGTATAAATCTCAATGATTTATTCCGTAGTTCATACCAACTATTTTTTTTTTAATCACGTGAACCTAAAGCATTTCATATAGAGGTATAACTTTATCATCCCGGCCTACTGATGATTCCAGAGCAACACATAAGTCATTACACTAAAAAAGTATTTTTAGTATGATCCATTTACCTCTTAAAGACTAATTTTCTGAAATCTGCAGAAAAGAAACCACTTCCATGTCAGCAAATTTCTCAGGGAAAAAAAGTCATACTTGCAAGGCCTTTATAGAAAATGAGCATTACAGGAATGAACAGAAGTTAGGCTATGTATTAAGAGTTGAATAGACATGAGAAGAAGAAAGTCACTTTCAATATATGAACTGTCCATAGTTTATTCAGTCAGCAAGAAAGTACTTCTTTCCTTCACTAACATGAGTCTACACTAACATAAGTAACGCAATTTACAGATGACTTACTCAAATACCATACTTTTCACGGTATTAGGTTTTATTGCTTTTTCTTTTTAAAATTTAAAGTATATTAAGTAAGAAGTATGAAAAATGAAGAAGTGTGAAAATTTCACACCCAATCTTTTCCAACACTGATTCTTCTTCAGCAGTCTACTGTTCTGTAGCAAATATTGCTCAAATGTCATATTCCTCCTATACAGACTTCATGAGCATTTTAAAATTTCAAAACTAACTTAAATAGAAAATTTACTTACATATGAACTAAATCAGCTCCAAAACACTAAAATAAACTACTCATTATATTCTCAAATTGTTAAGCCCATTCCAATTCATCATTTAAGATGTGGACGGAATATTTTTCTTAATTTAGGTACTGAATAAAATTATAAACCACAAAAATAGAATCAGTATCTCAAAAACCCTTTTCACCTGTGTTTGTGTTACTATGGAAGTTTTTGACAACACCGCTGTCAAAATATAAAGTTAGCAAAGGAGATTATCAACAAACCTGAAACTGATAACTCGGGCTCACCCAGCCTTCTAAAGGTCAACTAGTATTTAATGAAAACGATAGTGCTGAAATAAAATTCAAAGTTCCATCTGAGAATTAACAAGAGTATTTGACTCCACTCAGACAATCAAGTGCTTTTTCTAGACTAGTGATCCAATGAGCAAGGGTAGCATTCAAAGAAGAAACACCTGATCACAACTGTTCAAACTAGTCTCCTCTCTGCTGCATAAAGGTCTGTTTCATAACTTATTATGCTGCTAAACATCAGTGCATACCCAACGTTTATTAAAACAGAATTTATCTCTGCAGACTCAACAAACAGCCACACTCCCCACAACGTAAACTGAAAAGGGACAAGGCTTCAAACAAAACAAGTCACCGGTTGTCACTGTCCCATCTGGCAAGAAAATAATCCCTCAGTGTTAATATAATAGCTTCACAGTGCTTCTTGAAACCCTCAGCCGAGCAGCTACAGATGCCTCCGCTCGGCGCACCAGGAGCCTCACGCCAGGGCGGGGAGGGGCGGGCGGTGCAGCACAAAGCCTCGGGCGCCGCGGCCTCGCCGCACAGGGAAGTTTGGGAGCAGCGCCGGAGGACGGGAGGCGGCGTGCGGGGGGCTCGCCCCCGAGTGGGCGGCTCCGAACGCACCTGAGGGAGCTGGCCTTGGGGACAGGCGCGGATGGCGGGAAAACCGGCTCTGGTCAGGCCTCAGCCAAGGCCCGAACGCCTGTACCCCAGCGGCAGGCGGCCCGCCCGCAGGAGGAAGGCGCGGAAAGGCAGCACCAGGGCACAGCGCACCCCCCTTCTTCCCCCATCCCTCACCGCCCTCCTCGCCCCCAGCCCGGGCCCGGTGCTCACATTTTCCGCTGCCGCTCGAACTCCGCTTTTTTCTCCTCCTCCTCCCGCTTCTGCTTCTCGTCCAGGCTGCTGCGCTTGCTCACCGTGCGCCCAAAGATGTCGATGCGATCGGGGGGGGAGGAGGCGCGGTCGCGGTCCCGGTCCCGGTCGCGCCGGGAGGAAGGGGCCGTGTTGGAGCGCGAGCGGGAGCGGGACTCCCGGCGCCGGTTCCGCTTGCTTTCCCGGGACTTGGAGCGCTTACGCGCCCGCTCCTTTTCCCGGGAGCGAGACCGCGATCGGCTCCGGTTCTTCTTGTTGTGCTTGGAGCTCTTGGTGTGCTTGGAGCGGGACGAGCTCCGGCTGCGAGACCGACCCATCCCGGCGGAGAGGAGAGGCCGCGCCGACGACCAGTCGACCACCCCCGCCCCCTTCGCTAGCGGCGCCCGGGAGAGGTGCGAGGAGGCTCTGCGCGCATCAGCACCCCTCGAGCAAGCCCCTCGTCCTGTCCCTTCCCAACGCTTTGCGCCGCAAGGAGAAGGAACAGGCCCCGGGAGCAGGAGCAATTCCGGACGCAGCCAAGATGGCGGCTCTGGCTCAGCGGCGACTCTCCTCTCCCGCCCCACAATGCACCGCTCGCGATCTAGCCGCTCCCCCCCTTCCGCCGCCTCCGGCGTCGCGGCGGAGGAACCCGAGGGCGCTCGGCAATGTTCGGCAGCCAATGGGAAGCGCCGCTTGCAGGGGGGCCCCGGCCGGCCGGTGCCCTGGGCTGCGGGGAGCCCGGTGTGTGGGCAACGCGCGGGCAGCGTGGCCAGCGCTGAGCGGGGGCAGTGATATCTTTCTTTTTAGCTGATTTTCTTTTTTTTTTTTTTTTAATTTTAGGTCTAGTGTTTGTTTCTGTTTTCTTTTTGTGGGTTTTTTTTTGTTTGTTTGGTTTTGTTTTTTTTTTCTTTGACATGGGAGACACAAGGAACCTATCAGTAAGTTATGAAAAAAAAATTAGCCCCCCCTCCGCCCGCTCCCAACAATTGTGAAAATTATTTTTTTCTGATCTCCCTGTTGAAATGAATCACTGTGGAGACCCATCCCTTGAAGACAAGGAAGCACCTAAAATTCATAAATGCACATTTGGTCGAAAGCAACAACAAAACTCCGAGGGCCCGCAAACAAACAAAAGTTTTAATAGTAAATTACACACTTAGGTGGTAGTTGTGTTAGTGCCTGTACCTACTACATAAGCACACGGCAGTGCGTTTTGGATAAGGGAGTAGGGTGAACGGGAAGAGAGGAATTAAAGAGGGAAACATGAACAAAGAAAGAAAAAAGGGGGGAAAAAAAAGGGAAAGGAGGGAACCAGTCCTGGTCCCAGTGTTGATCCAGCTGAGGCGATGTCAATCCTGGTTTCAGTGTCAATCCCAGCTGTGCTGGTCCAGCTGATGAGATGTTCAGGGTCCTGGGGGTCTGTTTCCATGTAGCTAATGTCCAGTGCGGTGCACTGGATGTCTATTTTGGCTGTATTTAGCATGTATTTACATGCAGACTTTATTGTCCATTGTTAACAACAGGTCTGTAGGCAAAAGAAGCACTTCAGGTCATGTAGAGAGTATGAACTAGTGGTTCTGTAGGCATCTCTGTAGGATATTTCTATCACAGTTCTGCCATGTAAGTTTTAGACTTTTCTGCTATAACAATATTTAGAACTGGTGTTATTCTTGTTTTCAGTAAACTGGTGCAATCTATAGATAGTTAACCTCACTTTTTACTTCGAGCAGAAATGTTAGCTCCTTGGTATCTTTCACATTTGGTGTTTGTGGTTTTTTAATAGGTAAATATTTTTACTAAGTTTAAGTACAGTTTACAAAACATTCCTTAAGTCACTGGGCAAAATCTAATCTCACTTAAAGGTCTTTTCTTCTAATTAATTTGATTGACTTGCCTTGTTTTTCTCGAAGGAAGACTTTCTTATTTAGAAATTCAGACTTAATCTAATGAGTACCAAAAATAAATAAAATGGAAACATCTTTCTGATAGATCACTTTGCAAGTAAGAGCAGTGTAATGGATGGGGTGAAACCAGCATGGCAGGAATTCCAGAGTCACAGACCCTGGCCACACTTGTTTGTCCCTGGCCTTGGGAAGCTCATGCAACAGGTAACTAAGGAAGTTGATAATGAGACCTTTTAGACCCTGACCGGGTAGGTGAGTTTCTAACTGGCAGAATTCCTGTAGCAACTTGGCTACAATTGTGTACTGAAGCTTTTAAATTCATATGGTGCAACAGGTTCTGATTAAAAAATGTATCATAAATTTTTTATTACTACGTTACATATTGGATGTACCAAACCTGACCTGGAATATAACAGAGGGAAGGGGCAGAACTACTTATTTTGCAGTCATAAGTATAAATGAGTTTTTTAAATATTTACCATAAACTGAGTTTTCTCCTTGGTAAATCACTATAACAGAACCTGTATTTAGCAGCTTGGTTGCCTGAAGAAATACCAATTTCATCTGCAGAATTTTATTCCTATTTAGTTACATTGACTCATTAGCGCTATAAAATGCAATATGCAATATTTTACAAGAACAATTCATTATGGTGGATTGTGTAGAATTAAGGAATTATATAGTATGGTATAATGGAATAATTTTCTCCAATTCATTATTGTATTGCTGCATCTAATTTTTTTTAAGCTCCTGAAGTAATAAGAGCACAAGATTTTTAGTACTTGTGCTACGTTAAGGTCATTAGTCCACTCACTTTGTTATTTATGAGGTCTGAATTCTGTTACTTCTGGAAAAAGCTTCTTTTCCTCTTAAAAAATACATTCCTGAGAGCTGAAAAATTAGTAGACAAGCATTTCCATCTATGATTTCTTTTTTACTTTGAAGTTTGGTAGTTATTTGATTGGGGTATTTTTTTAATTCTATAATCTTATATTTCCCAATTTAATAGTAGTGAAATATTAATATTTAGGGTTTTTCCCCCCCCCAGGGGTAATTAAAATTGATATGGAATTACAGTACCAAAAGGAAGTTTTAGTAAATAATTACATAATTTCATTTTTTTTGTTTTCAGTTAATTAAAAAAGAAGATGGTAATTTCCCTTATTAGTTTCACTTTAAAGTTTTAAGTATTTAAGCTCATGCGATTTTTTTCTGGATTAAATAATACTACAATTTTTGAGTGTTTAATGTGACGTGTGGGGAGTTTTTTACAGTTTGCTAGCTATACAGAATTTCCATCCGCTCTTGTGGGTTTGCATTTTTTTTCCATTTTAATATATCTCAGTATGTTAAAATGCATAATTTGCTTCTTAAAACGGTTACCTTAGAGTTGGAAAATACCTTATTTGACAGCCAAATAGTGCCATAATTATAGCACCTCACCCTCCTTTACTTTGGCTACTGTCATCACATGAAATCTCTCAACCCATGGGCATTTAGAGGTACCTCCATGGAGATACTGTGTTCTTATAATCTCCAGATCGTACCTGCTCTTGCTTATACCACCACTTCTGTCATTAGCTGGGTCAAGAGGAATCTTGGGAGATTAAAAGTGGATTATTTTGGGTTGTGCTAGTGTGGCACAGCTGGATATAAGGTCTTTGTAATGTGTCTAAAGTGGAATAGCTCTGGAGGGTAAGCAGGGGAAGAAAGCAAGAGCATAATAGGATAAGGTGTTTGGTATATAATTTGCTGTCATCTGGTGTAGTCTGTCTCGCAGTAGTAAGAGGGCAGAAGTAGCACAGGAGAGATAGGTTGTTGTAAGGGAAAAAAGTGGTTTAAATGTGTATCGGTTCTTTCAAAGCTGGTAAACTCAACCAGAGTTTATTAAAAGGTCAGAAACTGAATACAGGTAAGGGGTTTTTTTGTTTGGTTGGTTTAGTTTTTTTGGTGTTTCTGTGTGGTTTTTGTTTGTTCGTTTTATTTTGGTTTTAAATTTATTTATTTTAAATATGATTCAGTGCTGCAATTCATGTCACAGAATCTGTAGATCACAGAAGCTGTACAGATGTAGAATTTGTATCAGTCACTTTTTCCCTTCATTTTTTTTATACATAATGCCAAAGTTACTCGTTATGCATTTTCTGTCAGGTGCTTTGTTTCTCTTTGAACAACACCATGGAGTTCTGAGCTGCTAAGCTGCAGAGGTAGGGAGATGAACTATCCAGGAGACTGGCAGAACAGTTGTGAGGAAAACATGGCAGGAGCCTGGAACAGCTGACAGACAGGGAAATATCTTTTCTAAGGCTTGAGAGAATAAGTCATTAAAACTGCTACTGCAAAGGACTGTTGAAAAGGGGAAAAAAAGTTTAATTGAAAGAGTGGAGAGGAAACCCTGTAAAATGAGAAATTAAATAAATGAAAAGGCTTTTCACATTGTACCTGTATAGAAATGCTGAGTAGATTGTATGCATAAGTTTAGTTATTAGCTAAAATAACCATTTTCCTCTTTTCTGTATGTTCAGTTGATAATCATGTACTTGGAAATGAGAAGTACTGCACAGAATGCTGTTGGAAGTGTTTTGTAATTTGGATATGCAAAAAGACAGAGCTTGAGTTACCAGGACTAGTGTTTGGATATATGATAATCAAATTAATTTAAAACAATATCTATTTGCTTTTCCATGTGGACTTATTTTTAGAAAATAAATAAAATGGCCAAATCATGATCAAAGTGATAATTTAAATATTACATTAGTTATCAATGTCAGAGGACATTTTATGATTTTTGTTTTATGTAAGCCCACTAACCACTTTTTTAATGTTTGGACTACTTTCTTCTTTCTACATAGAAGAAGGAAAAGGAATGTTCATTCGCTTGCCTTGGTCACCTTGCCTAATCTATTTAGGTCCTAAACAAAAGCTCTTGAATGCTATTAGAAGTGGTGAATTAAAGTTTTGACCACAGCTTGAGACAGTGATCTGCGAACTGTAATGATACATAGTGAATCATTATGCCTTTTTCTCACAATATTTTTTTTCAAAATCATTGATACTATATGAAATATGCAGATTTAAGATCTCAAATAAGTATTTATTTATGGACCTACGACTTGTTTAATTTAAGACTTACAGTAATAAAAGTCTAACCAACTCTTGTCATCAGCTGCGTAGTCATTGAGCTACTTTTACTCTGTAAGCATATTCTCATTTATCTGAAGGACTTCATGCCAATTGTAGTGTTGATATGTGTAATTAGGGACTTAAGCCAATCGGAAATGGGCTGAGGTGTCATCTAAGCCTCATGATGGACTGATCTAATGTGGATACTTGGATAGTTACTTAAAAAAAAAAAACAAAACAACAAAATAAACAAACAAACAAAAAACCAAACCAAAACAAAAACCAAACAAAAAACCTCACAAAACCGTGAACAAAACAAACCAGAGTAGCAATGAACACTGTTATTCAAAACCAGGTTGCTCATGATTCAGTGGTTAGCATAGTGGTTAGACTAGTTGGACAAGCAGGAAAATGGGATTCAGGTGTGTCCTCATTCATATCAATGTCTCTTCCTTCCCATGACCATATGGTAATCACCAGGCCAGGGTCTAGGCTGGAGGATGGTGAGGAGGGAGCTAAGGGCAAAGTCCCCCTCTGTGTCCTCACAGATCTCACTAAAAG